CACACACACACACACACACACACACACACACACACACACACACACACAAAATCCGCTCTCCTAAAAACCTACCTTCTCACTATTTGGATGTGCCTGCATTCCTGGGGTTTCCCAACTAGCCATTGTAGAGATATTACCGAAGTTTAACAGTTAACTCATCTGACAGAGATGGTGCCTTTTACAAGCTTGAGACAAAGGCTGCTTTTATCCCTGCATGAGAAAGCTTTTAGCACACTGGAATGTAAAGATTGTGCAAATGAACTCTGGTAACAGCTGAAACTCCCGGGGTAATAAAAATACCTTCAGGCGCTTTCTGAGTTAGTAGAAAAATACTGTAGTTTCTAAGCAGAAACATCTGGAGGGCTAAGATCTGGATTCCTGCCTTCCAGTTTGGTCAAATGCAGATGACATCACCATTATTAGGGTTGCAGCTGCTTATTGAGTGCTGTTGATTATGAGCTGGCGTGGCACCAAGCACTTCAGGAACATTCTTCCTAGGTGAACTTTAGATTAATCCTCTCATGTAGGGTGCTATCATCCCCAGTTTATGGGGGACACAGTTTAGGATTAACATGCTCCAGGTCTCCTGGCTGTGGTTCAGATAGGGGTTTTAACACGACTCTTTCCAGCCCCAGGGCTGTGCTCTCAAGCACCCCAATGTTGGACTTTTTTACTTTGCCATGAGTTGTTTTCAGACATGAGAACATTTTCTAGCTGTGATTCTGTGGGTATCAGATACATGTTATATTTGTGGGTCCAGCTTTTGGTCTCCTGTCTTCTTCTTTCCCCAACTAAATGCCCAGTGGGTCCCACTTAGGACTGCTCTTTATTATTTGTTTTTGGTGCTTAGTGATTTTAAAGAGTAACTGATTTTATTAAGTCTGTTGGTCCTTAAAAATAGTTTCTAGATTGTTGGTATATTTAGAACCTTAAATCCTTCTAGGAAACTCGAGAGGAAAGAATATGATAGCTATACAGAGCTCACAGTTGTAACAAAGATGTTATTATCAGCATTGGTTATTACTTTTTTTTTTAACACCTTTATTGGAGTATAATTGCTTTACAATGGTGTGTCAGTTTCTGCTTTATAACAAAGTGAATCAGTCATACATATACATATGTCCCCATATCTCTTCCCTCTTGCGTCTCCGTCCCTCCCACCCTCCCTATCCTACCCCTCTAGGTGGTCACAAAGCACAGAGCTGATCTCCCTGTGCTGTATCAGCATTGGTTATGATGGTGACAAACCTAGATCCATCTTCTAGTTGAAGAGTTACTGCCTTTATATTACATAGAATGGTAACTGCCTTTATATTACATAGAATGTCTGTAGAATGTCACCAAGACATGAAAAGTAAAGTTTGTAAACAAGTTTTTTACATTGTTATTGAGATATAATTCACATCTCATACAATTCACCTATATAAAATGTACAATTCAGTTTTTTTTTAGTATATTCACAGAATTGTGCAACCATCACAGTCAGTTTTGGAACACTCATATTTCACCTTAAATTTGTCAGTTGCCTAGGAAATGGACATAAAATAGTGTATACAGTATGATCATTCCACCACAATTTTTTTTTAATGTCAAAAAGAAAAAAATAAAAGGCATTATTAACTGATATATAGAATTATGGGTAATTGATTCTTTTCCTGTGTTTTCGGTATATTCTGTTTTTTTTAAATTTTTCTATGGTGACATGTATTACCTTCATAACGGAAAGCAGCAAACGAAATTAAAAAGAAAACTGAAGTCATCGTAGCTGAACAACATGGGTTTGAACTGTGTGGGTCCACTTACACGTGGAGGTTTTTCAACGCTAAGTACTATGGTGCTACACGGTCAGAGGTTGCTTGAATCCACAGATACGGAACTGAGGATAAGGAGGGTCGACTATAAATTATATGTGGATTTTCAGCTGTTGGGGGTGTCGGCACCCCAAACCCTCCAGTTGTTCGAGGGTCAGCTGTAGCTGGGAAACTCACATCCCTTTTGTTTTTTTCTCCTTCCCCTTGATGTTTTTAGATACTAACACTAGTTTAAAAAAAATGAGCTAATTAAGATCTTACCTTCCCTTTTAGAATGCCTTTCACTTTAAGTGTAATTAGGAAGCTCATGCCCCACCTTAACTGGCTCCCTCTCAAACCCTTTTCCAGGAGGATACAATGCGAATTAATTGATGTCTCCCTGACATCCAAGGAAACAGGGTAAACCTCAAATGCTAATACAAAGCCAAAGGACCGTGAAAAGATGACCCTCTGGGCCTCCCCTCTCAGATAGGGTAGCCCAGGTGTGTGTGGTGTGTGTGCGTGTGCGGAGTGTAGAGCATGCTGGGCATTACCTGTACTGCTTGATGTACGTCTGCTTCCCTATCCGAGTACTCGCAGGCAGAAGGGCTGTGAGCCAGAAGGGCTGTGAGCAAGTCACCTGTGGCCTAGGGTTACTCACTGCTCTTAAACCTAAGGATTGTAAACCGAGGCAGGCCTGCAGTGGGGAGAGTTAGGAGGGGCAGACCTGGGTGAGATCTATAGGCTGGTGCTGCCTAGACTGGTCAGAAGGCCCCAGAACAGCTCTTATCCCTCCCTTCTCCTCTGCCCTTATCTTATTTATGTCCTTATTTATTTATAAAATATTTATTTATTTATTTATTTGGTTGTGCCAGGTCTTAGTTGCAGCAGGTGAGCTCCTTAGTTGTGGCACGTGAACTCTTAGTTGTGTCATGCATGTGAGATCTAGTTCCCTGACCTGGGCCCCCTGCATTGGGAGTGCGGAGTCTTACCCACTGCACCACCAGGGAAGTCCCTGTCCTTATTTTTACGGGCCTCCTTGCCTCATCCATTGCAGATTCTCTGTCTAGCTTCATCTCCAGGCTATTCGGTGCCACAAACAGAGCCTTTGCTCTCTCAGGAGTGTGCAGCCCGCTTCTAGTGGGAGTGTTGGCGCACTTCTGACATCCAGGCAGTTCCCACTCATCTTGGCCTGAGCTGATGCACCGCCTCTTCTCCGAGCTTTCTCTAAGAGGGAGGCAGAATCATTTATTCCTTGATCTGTGTCTCATAATACTTTTTCGTCTCATTTTATAGCTCTTGCCACATTGTGCTATAGTTATTTATCTATGGGTTTGTCTCTCCCACCAGAAAGTGAGCTCCTTGA